CGGCAAGCGGCCCACCAGGGCTGCCACGTAGCCGTGGACGTCCTTCTCGGTGTCCAGGCGGCAGATGCCTGATGTGATTTTTTTCGCTCCCGCAAAGCTGGCCGAACCGCAGGCAGGGTCAGAATCTGTTCGTTCTTGGGGGCAAAAAATGGTGGTGTGGGCAGTCGGCTCTCGAACACTCTTCAATCCGACAAACAACAACCAACAACTCCAAAATCTTAAACCACAAGACCCCTCCGTTCGAGGATTTCCCACTGCCTTGGCCTCGCTACACTTCTGTTAGAAGCGTGTTAGGTGCGATTGATGTGTTAGGGTCTGGGGTTCATGCTTCACAGGTCACTGATGGAGCAGTCTTGAATTTTCAGGCGTTTGGTGTTCGGTGACACGGTTTGGGGCTGTAAATACCTTTCAGTTCAGACCACGCTCCCTCCGAGAAGCTTCATCTATGACTTTTGATCGCGCGGGTCCGAACCCTCAGGAAAAGGAACTGCGATTCTGTCTCTGGGTGGAATCCCCTCCCCCTAAGATTACCCCGCCACCCCCTCCCCCAAATATGAAATACTCTCTTTATGGTAAATCATGATCTATGGTAAATACGCAAAAATGGAGGTGGGGGTGGGGGTGTTAATATTAAAAAGATGAAAATAATAAAGAAAATAACATGGGTTCTGGGTGTCTCATGCTTGGTGTCCGGCAGCTTCCGGATTTTGTGGCCGGCCAAGGTGCATGTGGGCTCTGGGCTGTGGGCGCATAAATACGCCGGCGGCGAGCCTTGTAACTTCATCACCACCTCGGCATGAAGACCCGAAAAGTTTGAGTATCGCGCGTCTGAATCTTTGGCTTGAGGTCAAGGCGGTGTCAAGGCTCTGAGAGCCAAGGTCTCGGGGCGATGTTTCATCTTTGGTTGGGGTCGATGCTCGGGGCCCACAGTTCGTGGTTGCAGGACTTAGCTATGCACTGCTGCCCATGTCGGTAGAAATTACATTTTCAGGATGTGCTGGTGCATCCAGCTCAAGCTCAAGTCAGTGGCTGCAAAAGCTAAACGGAGCCTTGCCCAGATAAGTGCTGGTGGGAATTACGGACAGGAGTTACGGACAGGGGGCTTGGCATGGGCCTGTCTTGTAAAGCTGGCCACGTAGCCTTGGCTTGAAATCCTGCAGGCTGGAAGTATCACTCCTTGTGTCAAAACTAAAAGGATCGTTCGCAGCAACCGGAACCGCAAGCTCCAGACATGACCATGTTGCTCCACCGGTGGATGGACACTGACATGCAGTTCCGCTCCCTTTAGGCTGATGCGCTACTGCCCGCCTTGGGGTTGATGAAGACATCAACTGTGGAGCCGTTGATGGGGTCGTCCGCACCTGAAGCACAACTACCTAGCGCAACGCCACAGAGCAAAAAGGACGCTTCCAAGCCTGCGGTGAACAGCTTCTCCCTAAGCGACAAGCCTGAAGCACTGAACTTCAAACTCCAGGGCTGCCTGGCCGTTTCTTGATGCTACCAAGAGCACTGATCCAAGGCACAACCTCAGCCTTGGTGAGGAGCGTGGGCGAGTCGCAGCTGTGGAATATGCCATACCTGGAGCCGCGCATCATGTGAAAGCAAGTTATGCTACAGAGTACTTGGAGGTCCGAGTAATTAACTGTAGTTTTAACCTAAGTATAATAAACCTACGAGACTTAGGGGGCTCATAATTGAGTTAGACCATGGACCTCCAAGTATGCCACAGTATGGTGCAGGGAATATTTGGCCGTATCCTTCAGGGCCGTGAGCTATCTGGGTTTCAGGGCTGTTGGCTCAACACCATGACATCCAAAGTTTCTGGCCGAAACATACGGATGCTTTTCCAAGCCCATCTGTTGCAGCAAAATTGCTCAGAAAAGGCTCTTGGACGTCCTGTGGACTTTCTGTTTGATTAGGGTCCGGGGAAGAAGACAAGCCCCACACCCTATCCTCCTGCACCCTCCCGTTTGTGATCCCCGAGCCAGCTCCACAAGTCAGAGCCCGAACAAAGAACACGGTTTAGGGTTTAAGTTAAGGCTTGGGGGTGATCAAATCCTTGACTTCGTCGGAGTGTAGGGGCTCCGAGGACGTTCACACATCCTAACACATCTTCTGAACAAATACGAGGGTGCCGGACAAATGGTCCACTGCAACAACGACACAAATAACAAGATGTCACTACGTGACCCCAACTTTGGGCACGACAAACACTGCAGTCGCGGCGCGTGCTGTAGGGCAGGCGCCACGCGAACCACCTCATGTCCTGGGTTTCTGCAGGAGTTTCAATGTTGCCAGGAGTCCTCCCATGAACCCACAGGTGCACTCTCGACCAACAGTCCTAAGCCCGTTTCTCCGGGGGTGGCTTGAATTGCAAAGAGAGCCTGTGTACCATTGCAGTCCCACTGCTGTGAAACTCGTACAAGGTCAACAAGGTCAAGGTCTGCTCTGCATCAGTTAAATCACATGCCTGGACGTGCCTGGCTAAGTAAATAGATGTTGGAAGCACGCCTTGGGAAAACATATTAGCACAACCTCAAGTAGGAAAAGTGCAGAAGGCTTCACCTTGTTGTGAGTGCTAAGGTCCTATTTGCATTGGTAGTGTAAAGGAACGGCCTTGGAAGGTGGCGCAACACATTAGCAAAATGAGGTGCAGAGAAACTCAACGCACAGGTTTCTCCACATCCTTCAATCTTACGCTCTCAACCCTGAACCCTTGACCCCAAACACATGATGATAACAGCCAAACCAGGCGGCGGCAACCGACAGCTCGAAGCGGCCTTGGTCAATCCGCGGCTCCCCTGATGGAGCACGAGCAGGACGACACACAGCATCGCGGCAACCTGCTTTCAGAATTTCTTCAGGGTTTGGGTGTCAGAGACTCGTTAATAAGCCTCTCTAGGAGTTCGTGTCAGAAGTGCAGGCTTCATGGTTTAAGGCTCAGGCTTTGGTGTCGTGAAAAACCAAGAAAACAAGACAACGTAGAGGGCCTCCTTCATGTGAACCCTTAAGATTCGTATGTACTCAATGATGTTGGGCCGCAAGTAGTGACGGTGATGGGAGCTTGGGAACAGGGCACGTTGAGACATTGCAAAACTGCAGGCTCAAATCGGCGGATATGCGATTTGGAAGCCTTTTTTTACCAGAGCCCTCAACCTCACTTGGGCAAATCAGCACCATCCCTCCGACCAAAGAAGCCAAAGCAAGGGGACCCTGAAATGGGCCTGCCGGAACAGGATTCTTGACAAGCGCCGTGGTGTCCACGCTCTCGCGGATGGCCGCCGTGACCGGAAGGAAGGCGAGGAACAAAGCAAAGGTCATGGAACAGCAGGGATGGCCATTTTGCATGGAATGGAATCTCAAACGACAGCTGTGCTTCGAGCCACAAGGCTTCAAAACAGTAATTCGTGACTGACATACATTCTTCCACCCAATGACTCAATCATAGTTGTGCTCACTCAAAATACAGTTTCAAAACGCGATCAAATTTTCTCCACCAAATGATCTCTCAAATGTTCATGAAACACTGTAACCGGATACGCACCTCCTTTTCAACACGGGGGGGATTCACAACCTCCACGGAGCACAGCCTAAAACCTCCGCCCCTCTTGCATTAGGTCATGCGACTCCACATCTCGCAAAGGAGAAAACTTCCGCCAAGCACTTCAAGCGGGACGGAGGATCAGCAGGATTGCTGTGCGTACCACACGATGGCACCCAGCTGTTCCTCCAGCTCTGCAACTCCAATGTGGGGCTGCGGGGCTGGAGAACGATTTGAAGAAGTCTGGCTAGAGGCAGGCGACCACGACCTGGAGGTACAGATGCGCAGCAGTGGTGGAAATCAAATTCTGCAGCTGTCATATTACGGGCCAGATACCGATCACGTCAGAATCCCAATTCCCCAGCTTGCGCTCTTCCATGCCGGCGTTGCTCGACCTGCCCCTGAGAATGGCGCCAAGAGCACCCCATTGTCGACAAAAGCCAACAAATGCATGCAAGGGAAGACTGCCAAAGCCTCGAGCTTGCCAAAATGGCCAAAACCTGCGCAGCACAAAGCCGCACAGAAGAGTTTGGCCGCATGCAACAAAAAAACTTCAGATCGTTCATCACCTCAGTGCCCCAGGCCTAGATTGGCCAGATTCGTCCAGCTGAACTTGACTTGAACTGCGCATCTTCTGTGAGGTCCACGCTTGCAGCTTGTCTCCATCAATCCCACTAACTACACTCGTCGGCGTTTGCTCTGCGCAGCAAACAGCTGGGCAAACACATGCAAACATGCAGTGGACATCGACGTCCCAATAAGTTTTGCTCCCACTCGCTCCTATGTCCTATGTTTTGCGCCATAGCACCTCAGCACTGCCTGAAGCACAGTGCCTCGACGTCCAATCCAGTGCGATGTCCATGTTGTGATTGGCAACTGCTCCGGACGAGAGCGAATCGCTGCACTGTGAGAGAGCTCCTCGCAATCACTGAGGCTTTCTTTCAACACAAGCTATGCGTTGCAAGACGGCGTGCTGGTCGCCTGCGGTCACGGTGAAACTGAGCTCGCCTGCAGCCTGTTGGCTGCATCGACACGCCTGGCTCGGCCAGGCTGGGCCGAGCTGTCGGGGATTGAACGGAGGCGCCCGTGGATTTGTGGCTGGCATGGACTTAGATTGCGGGCACACCCGAAAATAGACACGTGTTGAAGACCAGGAGCAGCCTTCTGCTTCCTGGCGGATGAAACCCGGAGGGCTCTGTTCACTTCAGCGCCGGCAACTCCGGATATTTGCTACTGGGGCGGGGCCAGCACGTCGCATCTGATGCAAAAGCCTTTTGCTTTCAGGGTTCAAGTGAAACTGATGTAGCATGTATAGAACTTGTAAGCGCTGCCCCGCCAGCAAAAGCGCGGCAGACTTTCACCTACGCCCTGCCACAGCCCTACACGCTCTCATGAGGAAGGGTGGCTGCAAGGTCCCTATAAAATGCACAGCAAAAGTGAAAAAAAAAAAAGTGGCTGGTCAGGGGCGCGCGTCTTGCTCTGCGTGGTCCATGGCCCGCCTTCGGGCCTGCGCAGTGGCTTGTGACATCTCATTGTGCCAGAGTTGGAAACAGCAACCAAAAACTCGAAAGCAGAGCAGACTTGGTGACTTGGTAGACCAGTAAACATGGTAATCATGATGAGGGTACCCTTTTTGGATCTTCTTGGGGTTGGCTACTGTATAAGGGAACCTAGAATAACCTAGAACCAAAAGAAGAGGTCCTAAAAAGCATACTTGCAGCATGCGCGGCCTCCAGCTTCTCTGCAATGTCTGGATGGACTCCCGGCATGGAACCCTTGTCGAACTCTCGGCGCTCCAAGGTCAGATGGTCCTGGAAGCATCTGGAGCCCATGGCATGCAAAGTATTCGTTGTGGCGGCATATCGGGATATTCTATAGGTTCTCCATCAATTACTCCTTCTGTTCATTCCCGCATGGGGGGCCACGGCGCCCAACATCATGAAAGCATAAAGCTGAGCGACCCCCTGCAGTTTGACCTGTACATTTCCGTCACGTTGAACTCGCTACTATTCAGGTTCATGTAGCTTCGTATGTTGTCCTGACATGAACTGGCATCCGACAGTTGCAGGCTGCACTCCTCCCCACTGTGGGCCTCAGCCAGCAGCCGCTTCTCCTGTGGGAATTCGTGTGAAGCTCTCAAGCTGGCTCACTAAGGCTGCTCGTAGAGCTCACCATCACGTGGCACTCTACACCCTAAACCCTATAAAGCCTATAACCCTGAACCCTATAACCCTAAACCCTGTGGCCTACGTCAAGAGTGGCGTGCCTCATCGCTTGATCCCGGCGTTTCAGACCCCAAAATGCTCATGGCTGTACCGAGCTGTGTGAGCACGGAAGGGTTCTCCTCCAACTTCTGCTGCAGCAGCTGCCGCTCGGAGTCCTGAAGTCCTTGCAGAATTCTCTGCGCCGCATTGAGATATACAGCTCAAGAAGCTGAAAAGACCACAAAGACAGCAGAAGCCGACTCGTTCAAAAAGGAGGGCCTCGTGCTGGCGGCTCGTAGGGCCTCCAGGATGGAGACCGCCAAGGGAATGGTTACAACTGACCCCGGCAAGTTCCTGGTTTAGGGTTTAGGGTTCAGGGTTTAGGGTTTAGGGTTCCGTTCGGGAGAACACCAACCTGGTGCCGGTCAGACTGCAAAAAAGAAGCCAATAACAAAGCTTGCTATAACTATCTATAATTCCTCTCTTGTGCATGGCGAGCAGCGGCGACGTTGCAGGACTGCTGCCTGAACAGCCGAGTTATGAAAGCTTTCCATGTCGACACATCCGACACATCGGCAGGAACTCGCTCCGCCTATGGCTGTCCGCCCTGTCACAGCGGTCCAGTCCTCAGATGTAGTATTTCTAGATTGTCTTGAGAGAAAACTATAATTCCTATAAGGGGGGCCATAGTACAAAGGTGCGCAGAGCAGCTGCAAATGCTGAGCTCTGAGCCATGTCCCACATCTCATCTGCTTCGGCTTCCTCGTCCTCCTCTTTCAAGGCAGCACAGGTGGCATCAACTTGCGGTTTCCCACCCGCGTAGCTGAGCGGTTCGCAAGATTGAGGGTTTAGGGTTGAGGTTCAGAATTTCAGAATGCCCAGCTGCCAACTCGCCCGGTTTGCTACGCGACTTGGGGACTGCAGGCCTGGTGGTCGCTGGGAAGAGGGACCACCGAAGTCTCGTCCGAAACATGGGACACCGTGGCAGGACGCCTTGCTCGAGTCGGAGGAAAGGGCTGCTTTGAGACAAAGAGACTTAGCAGTTTCCGAAATTAGGGGTACCTTCTGTTGGGTCCAGATTAGAAGGGAGTCCTACTGTTTGGGGGTCTCTGTTGGGGCTCCCCTAGTTTCGTAAACCCCCGCTACCCTGGCAACATCTCTCAAGAGCCGAGGGCGCAACACTTGTCTCGGGTCTGGGTCGTGGAGCTCCTGATTCCACATGCGGGGGGGAGGGGAGGGGGTTTAGGGAAGGGGTTTCGGTTTAGGGAAGGGGGGAGGGGGGCTGGTTCCCTGAATCCGGATGTATATAAGGCGCTATAAGGGGGTCCATTGTGGGAACTTCATGAGTCGCCCCCGAAGAGCCCGCAGCCCAATAGCCCTGAGTGGAGGACTTGGCCACCAGTGGAGCAGCGGGAGCGGAGGCTGGCCTGGCTTTGTCAAGCTGACACAGCTGATGTTTCTGGAATGTTCCCCCTTTTCTACGAAGAGCTCCTTAGTCGGGACTATCGTACGCCCTATTCTGGTCCCGATCCCGTTTAAGGACTGTTAGTGTGCATCCCAACCTGATATCATCTTTTTGCTTTTTTGCTCAGCAGGCTTCTGAATTCGGGTTTATAGAGTTCATAGGGTTCAGTAGGGTTTTGGGTAAACCTTTCTTGAACGAGGTCTCTCGTTAAAGGAACCCTGAACCCGAAAACCCGTGCGTGTTGCCGCCAACTACCCAAAAAAGGAGAGCACTTTCTTGGAAGCGCCGCCCGGACCTCGTCAGCCATGCGGAACTCTACTGGCTCTGCAGCTGCCTGGGAGCTGTGAAGTTGCACCCGGATCTAGGGCCGCAAAACTCTGGCCACCCTAGAATTCGGTGTAGGGTCTACAGGGGCTTTTTTTTGCCACCCGCCTAGCCGATCTCGTGTGTGTACCGGAAAGCAAAAAGGGCCCCGAGGCGTCCCCATCTCGCAACCTTCACCCACAAGAGTAGCCCATCCACAATACACAAGCCCCGCGGGTGATGGGGACTGCGTTCTTCAGGTCACATAAACCGTCGCCCTTTTGATACGACATGTGTCCTGGAACCACAGACTTGAAACACCAGGTGCTGCCCCCCCGTTGCCCCTGCTGTGTGTCGCGCGCCTGAGCTGCTAGATGCTACACACTCTGCAACTAAAACCACACACGCCTACCCAACAAGTCTATAGGGGTTTAGGATTTAGGGTTTAGGGCCACTCCCTTGCCAAGCACGGCCGACCAGTACGCGCCGCTCCTACGGATGCTATCGGCTCTGGGCCTCGCCACCGCTTCGGCGACGTTCGAATTGCACCTCATCCTGCACCGCCAACACGATCATTGTAAGCGGGACCAGGTGAACCCTGAAATTGAGATCATCTAAACCCTACACCCTAAACCCTAAACCCTAAACCCTAAACCAATTTTCGAAGCTCTAGGCCTGCCCTGAGGGCTCTGGGCATGCTGTGCGGCTGGAATCCCAGAATCCCCATTGTAGGGCTACAGGGGGCTAGACAGCGCCCTTTTAGGGCGCTCGTGAGTCGTCCCCGAAATACCCGGAGGATCAAAGGCCACCATGCCAGTGTCCTCCAACGACTCCAAAGCCTCCTCCTTCTTGCGGAGCTCCTGACATGCGAGGTTGTCTCGGATGGCTCCAAAATGGTGATGAGGGTGCAGGGTTTGGGGTTCTATGTGTGCTCCTACGAATAAAGGCTGCGATCAGACCCTCCAGGGTTCCAGCATAGGGAACGGGATGGTCCTTTTCCTACTCGTCTTAGTAACTTCTTAGTCTAGGGCCTCATGCAGCATGCGTACGCCCTTTCAACTACGCGGTGACACGCACACGGCAGAGCCTCCCTTTCGGGAAGCCCATGGCCGTCTGTCTCATTAACTCAAAAGCGAGCGAATTATTAATCGTACTATATCGTACGTCGACCAGAACAAATGTGACAAGATGGGCCTGAGATAGGAAGGCTTTGCCTTCGGATTCAGTCGCTCGCATGAAACACTTTGAGTCTGCCTCCCCTGTAAAGTACCAATGGCAAAGAGAGAGAATTGAGTTGTGGGATAGACTCATGCCAAATGGGTGATACAGCCGGCCTAACTCTGAGAAACCTAGTAGAACAAGACTCGTAGCAAAATGTTGGCAGCAGGCGGCTTCCAAATTTCAAATTCGCACTTCGACGCCATGCTGGCCCAAGATTTGGGCTGCACAATCCTAGCAACCTCTACTCCAGCTTGAAGATAAAACCCTAAACCCTAAACCCTGAACCGTTCTAGCTTGCTTCTCGGATTTGCAAGATGCCAAGGGATCCATCAGGTCGGTGGCCCAGCCAGCATCGATGCACGGGTCTGCCTCAAAACAGCAAAGGCAGAGCGACTCGAAGCGAAACGCAACATCACCTCATCTCTATATATCTGTATGCTGCACCCAATTGTCCCTCAAGAGTCATTGAGCGGCACCCCGCAAAGCCACGGTACCTTCAAGCGTGCACGCTTAGAGACCCCTGATTCCCTCCCCGCCCCTCTCCGCTGCCGCCGGCCCCCCCCCCCCCCCCTTCCCGGGAGTCGAAACTGCTAGGACCGCCCCTTTCCCTGAACCCCAGGCCAGCTATTTGGACCCTCTCAAAGCAGCCTTTGGAACCTTTTAGATGCCTGTAGGACCCCAAAACCATCCAAAATCCTGAACGAACGAAGTGCTCTTGCGCGCTAGGTCAGTCCGAGGTCGGCGACGTGTAGTGTTTCGGATTACTGCAATTTTCAGAATTCTTGTCTTGAGCATCGCCCTGTCTACCAGACACTCGGACAGGACCACTCAGATTGTCACCAAGCCGCTGTTTCTTGAGCACCCGCGCGCATGCGTGGTTGATGTTCCCAGTGTTCTCGTCTGTCAGGCGGCGCATCCTTGTGAGTTGAACTGTCACAGATCGGACAAAGCTTGTTTGCCCCCACTGGCTTCTTTTTTCCGGTGCTGCCAGGAAGCACTTGCAGAAAGTGAGGGAACCGCAGCAGCAACCGATGCTCGGGATGCACCTGGAAGGGCACAGGCACAGAAAAGCCCCATCCCCCACACCTAAACCCCAAACCCCAAACCCTAAAACCCCCACAAAAACAATCCGCCTAAAGCAAGCGCAGCCCTGCGACCTCCCTGACCATCGCGCTCAGGTGGCTGACATCGTCCTCGCTCATGTCAGCTATGCGGCCTGAGGTGTACCCCGAAACCCTCAACCCTAAACCCTCAACCCTAAACCCTCCTAAACTTTAAACCCTAAACCCTAAACCCTGAATCCTAAACCCTAAACCCTAAACCCTAACCCTAAACCCTAACCCTAAACCCTAAACCACACCAAGAAGCTGCAAGCTGCTGAGCAAAATGAGAGAAAATGCCGAGCAGCTGATGATTGTGAGAAGAGAGTCGAACGTGAGCTCCTTGACCTCCGCAGCTGCAAGATGTGCGCATGCGAAATCTTAGGGCTCTGTTCTGAAAGGTCGCAGGCTATAGCTCATGGGTTCCCCTGCTACCCCCCGCCCTCCCCCCAAGACTACTTCCAAGGTTCCATTTATCTGTGCAACCGATGAAGGCCGCGGTTCGCACAGAAAGCACAGCAGAAATATAACTCAGAAAGCGGCCAGTATGCCTTCTCAACCCTTCAACTGAGACATGGAGCTCCAGACTGCCTAGTATGCGCCACCCCACATCGCCTGAACCCCCGGTTAGGGTTGATGGGGGGCTTATGTAGGGTTGGTAGAGGGCTTAGCTGAGAAAGGGCTTTTGTAGGGTTTGTACGAGGGCATCCGAGCCGCCCAGTTGGCATGCAGGTCGAAGATCCTCGGGTCACTGCGCTCACCAGGAAAAAACAGGACCTTCCTACCGTACATTACCGTACTCATTAGCTGTTTAGTAAATTTAGGGTTTCGGGTTTAGGGGAGTTTCAGGGTTTCGAGACGGTTTTTCAGCCTCAGCCGAGCCAAGGCTCTGCCGGAAACCGTCCACTTCCTCGTAGTCCATGTCCAGCTCCTGCACCACCTGCCTGGGTTTAGGGTTTAGGGTTTAGGGTTTTTTTTGCCACCCGCCTAGCTGACCCCTCTGAGATCACTCCGCAGGGAACAATCGTGGTCTCTCGTGTGTACCAGAAAGCAAAAAGGGCCCCGAGGCGTCCCCATCCCTCAATCATCACCAGGAGGGTTTAGTTTAGGGTTTAGGGTTTCAGCGCTTGATGTGCACGGCACTTTGCTTAAACACAAGGAGTAGTCAGGGGCTCATCCCAGGCTCCGCAGCTGCACAGCAAAGCCTGTGAGCCGCGCAGCCATCGTGACCAGTGCGAACCAAGGGGCATCTCCATTTGTAGATCCTCAGTTCTTCTTTTTTTTTTGTGGGGGGGGGTCGCTGTGGCTAGGCTGTTGTGGCTAGGCTGCTAGGCAGCTGCAAGCAGATCTCATGGCAGTAAGTGGTGTCAGGAAGCCCTCTCATCGCGGATGTCGTCGCATCTTCGCATCAGAACCAGGAGGGTGCTGAAGGAGAGTCGGCCACTACCATCTTGATCAACATCCTACCACGGCCAGGAAACCAAGGGAAGCTAAGCCTTTGAAGACCCAACTTGTGCCGAACTTCGAGCCCTGGGCAAAAAGCTCTCTAAATCTACTTCTTCGTAGCCCAGTAACCAGATTCTACTTTACAAGGGAACCTAAACCCTAAACCCTAAACCCTAAACCCTGAACCCTGAACCCTAAACCCTAAACCCTAAACCGAAAAAAGGGCAAAGGGTACCACTGGGCTACCAAGACATGCCTCTCAGAAGGCCCCTTGAGGACCCCCCCATAGGGTTTAGGGTTTAAAGTTTTGGGTTTAGGGTTTAGGGCCGCCCCATAGGAGACTCCTTGAGGATGATTTGCACCTCGGCTCGCCCTTCCTCGGGTCAGGCTGACGGATGCGTTCAAAGAAGCACAGATTGTAGGGTTTAGGGTTTAGGGTTTCGGGTTTGGGGTGCTGAGTTGCTGGGGGCCGCCTGGATTCTTGATTTTATGAGACTTTGCCAGATCAGTGCCTCCATGCAGGCCCACTCAGATGCTCAGATCCTGTTCGCAACCCGGAGCAAACATGCTGCCCCCTAAACATCCTAAACCCTCAACTCCCCACCCCCCGCATGGTGTCTTCTATGCAGTTGATACAGCTCTGCGACCCAAGGCTCCTTGGACTTCGTAGCCTGCAGAAAGAGCCAGAAGCATGTGTGGAAAGGTGCCGTGGGGTTTAGGGTTTAGGGAGAGGTGCCCATGTCAGGCTTCTTTTCATTGTGTTTCGAGGAGTTACCTCTGGATCTTCTGCAGGGGTTTATCAGATTTCTGGTACTTGTGCAATTCAAGACAGAGCTTCTGGAGACCTACTTTTGAGGTCGCCTCAGGAAAGTACTCCGCGATGATCTTGGCGAGCTCCCTGTTCTCCACCGTGCCACTCTTGTCCTGGCAAGCGGTCGCCGAGCAGGTGTTAGGGTTGAGAGGGTTTATAGGGTTTATAGGTTTTTTTGGGTTTTTAGGCTTTAGGGTGCCATTGCAAGTTCCGGCTTGTGACCATACGTTCAATATCGAGCATCTTTGTCGAAGCGCTGGAAGCAGTCGCGCAATGCCACGACCTGATGAGAGCTGGCATAGCTCACGCAACAAGGACGTGCAATGAAGTGCCAGTGTGGCTCCCCGCGTGCCCTGCCTCGTTTGGAGTGTAGCACGCATTTTGCCGAATGTCCTGGAGCAGAATCTTGCCTCGTCTCGGGTCTGAGCTTGCCGCTACAAAATCTATTGCTACAATTACTATTTCCATGATTCCAAGCATTACGAGTTTTACGACTCATGCGGCTGCTACTGTTCAGTATTGCTATCGTCGTCCTTCACTTGGCAAACGAGGTCAAGAGCAAAAAGATGCATCTTGCTGGCCAGCGTCGGACATAACGACAGAAGAGCTCAAAGGCTGATCGTGAGACAGCATTCTTCCTAGTCAGTTTCCGAAAGAAGGGGTCACCAAATTAGGGCGCCTCGGGGTTCCGGGAATAATATTGCCAGGAATATGGTATTTGTTGTTTGTTTGGGGGGGAGTATTTTTTGGGGGGGGAGGCCTCTCGGGTTTAGGAGACTTTTCCTTGGCAAGACTGAAGCCAACTCTCGAAAATGTGAGGGTTTTCGGAGTTTGAACAAGTTTAGGGCGTTCGGCAATCGGCACAGCATGTACATACACATGCACATGCACATACACATACATACATATGGGTGGCTGTCAAAATCTTGATCCTTTTTGGGGTACCCTAAATATTAGGTGCCGCATTATACTAGGGATCCGAAAAGGGACCATAATTTTGACAACCACCCATATGTATACACATACGAGTAGTGCACAGCTGCCCAAAGAGCTGCCGAGGGGCGTGTCCAGAAGTGAGAAGCCGGCCATGCGCGCTGCTTGCTCACCCCGCTTGGTCATGCCAGAGCTGGTGTCGTCATACAACTTCCTTACTAAGGAAAGGGTTTAGGGTTTAGGGTTTCTGCTTTAGGGTTTAGGGTTTAGGGTTTAGGGTTTACGGTTTAGGGTTTAATGTGAGAGTCGCTTTTTGAATTAGGGTGGTAATAGTAATATTCGCCGGGCCAGAGGGCCCCAGCCGAAGACTACTTTCCATTACGGGAGGTTTTCGGGCCGATGTATGTAAACAAGTCTATATAGGGGGGTCCGGTGATAATAATAATAGGGTGGTATTTGTAAAAATTTTTCTGGCCAGGAATTGAAAATTTTACTGAAAATGGCTTAAGAGTTCCATTGCAAAGAAGACTTTTCAGCTGAGCTGGCTTGAAAGAGCTCCAAGGCTCAGTCTTTAGAGAATAGATCTCGTTTGAGATTGCTTGTCTTCTGAGATTGCTGCAGCTCCAGAGCTGCGAGAAACTGCTGTTTCAGGGCTGTTTCTTCAGAGAAAGCAGGTATCAGGTGACCCCAGACCCCCAGAATCCTCATAATTGACACCCCGCAATTTTTTTCCACCCCTCCAAACCCCGGGGACCAACACAAGATTGGGGGGGGGGGGGTTTGTTACAGGGACTCTAACATTTTTTTGCCACCCGACTATCCACAGCAATACTCTAACATTAGGGTTTAGGGTTTAGGGTTTAGGGTTTAGGGTTTGGGGTTTAGGGTTTAGGGTTTAGGGTTTAGGGTTTAGGGTACAGCAAAGCCGTTCTGCAAGCGAGTCAGCCGCAGCAACACGCACACACCACCAGAATACAGCCTTGGCGTTGCGAATTACCAGAGTTAGCCCAGGATACCACACAAGCCAAGTCTCGAGAGGGCATATGGAAGCCTTGCTACAGGCACCTCGGCCGAGTAGCAATGCAAACATTGCTGTAGAGATACATTCAGGGATGCACCGTCTATATCTCAGCACCTCGCGCACGCCACATGTACACGGCCTTTGTCAATTTTTGTTGCTCAGCCAACGGAGGGTGTCCCCGAAGTGGCAGGCGGCGCCAGATCGTCTCCATGTCTCCGATTCAACGCAGATGCTTGATTTCAAGGCAGGGGGGGGGGGGGGGTTATGGCAGAACGGATTCTGCGGGACATTTTTCTGACCATGCCCGGTGCTCTGTTGTGGGCCATGTTAATTTCCAGCCCGCTCGCGATGCCCTCGACGTTCCCTTGGAGACGTAGTGGGGCAGCTGGCGTCAGCAGACAGTCCCTGATTTCGGTCCCGTGAAAAGGAGGAGCGTTTTCTGTTCCAAGACCTGCCACAAGAAGCAGGGCGGGACATGACCAGACTCTGATCAGGGAGGTAGTGTTATGGTTTTTGTCTTTCGTGATGCTGCGATGGTGTTGCTGCATCCAGTCTTAAGGCTTGGCTGCCTTCTTGAAACTTAAAACGCTTTCGGGGATGTCCTGTTGTCTGGTTGCTTGATTGTGGCAAAGGGGATGAACGGATTAGAGTTGCAGCCGCACGGGGCCCGCCATATTCCGAGCACCTCGAAATTTATCCACTCAGTCCCGCGCATGCCCAGTGTTTCGGCTGTCCAGCATCTTGAAGACATTCCACTGCTTCTCTCGCTCTTCCTTGGTGCAGTGGGCAACCGACGGGCCAGGCTGGGCCCGTAAAAACCCTTAAGAGAACCCGAAACCGACCTGTTTTGTAGGGCATTCAAGAATGCTGTCAGGGTGTTTAGAATAGGAACTCCTACAAAAAAGTAGGTTGTGGGTGGTTAAGGTAAACCCGAAAGACCCTCAATACCCTAAACCATAAATAAGACCCTAGACGCTAAACCCTGAAGACCCTAGACCCAAAAGACCCCAACTAAACCCCTAAAGACCCTAAAGACCCTAAAGACCCTGAAGACCCCAAAGACCCCGAAGACCCTGAAGACCTGAAGAGCCCGAACAGAAGCTGAGCTGCCAGGACGAAGCCGCGCATGAGCTTCAGGAACCTTCGGCGCATGGACTCAAAGAAGGGCAAGAAGGGACTGACGGGTTTAGGGTTTAGGGTTTGGGGGTTTGGGGGTTTAGGGGTTTAGGGGTTTAGGGGTTTGGGGCTTAGGTTTGGGGGCCCTCGACATGTTCAAAGTTCCGCAGAAACTGAAACGACTACGCAGGGATTAAAGCGCCAACTGCCAGATGTATCTCAACTCAGGAGTAACCACCAAACCCCCCGCCCTAAGCCCCAAACCCTCCTTATAAGAACCCCAAAACCTACCTTGTTTTTAGAGTTCCTAAGATTCCTAGAAGGGGAGTTATACGATAAGACTCTACCAAAAAGTGGGCTTGCGGTTCTTAAGGTTAGCCCTAAACCCCTATTTTTTTTGGTTGCATCCGAAACCCTGAAACCCGAACCCCGCCCCCTCCGCCCCCCCTATACCCCCCTACTACACCCCTGCTACACCCCTGCTACCCCCCTGCTACCCCACTACCCCCTACTGCCCCCCTGCTACCCGCTACTGCCCCCCTATACCCCCCAGCCCGACCCCACCCCCCCAGTTGTCCAAAGGCGCCCCTCGAATTCGAGCTTTCCGGTTCCGTCGAGGTCGAACTGCTCAACCAAGGCTTGCACCTCTGGGCACATGGGTGGTTGTCCACATTATGGTCCCTTTTTGGATCCCTATTCCGATACGGCACCCAATATTTCGGGTACCCCAAAAGGGATCATAATCTTGACAGCCACCCACATGGGAAGCTTTTTGGAGCCTTTTTTCACAAGGGACTCGACTGCTGCCCTTTCTGCCCAGCCCGCCCCCACACCACAGTGCCTATGACTGCAGGGCGAGAGTCGCCACTTCGCGGCACCAAGCTTCAGGCACAACTTGATAGGACACTACTTTCTGGAATGCTTTGTATAGCTTGACAGTGACATCATAGAGGGTATGCTCAAAGATCTCAAAAGCAGTATGCGCGAAGAGAACTTGGAAAGACAGCCAGGTGTCCACATATCTGAGATGACAAATGACGAAGTGCAAAACGGAGTAAAGGTCCTCATGCTGTGCAAATGTCAGACTTTGCCTTTTGGAGCCTTGAAACCCTAAACCTTTCTTGGGATCCTGCTTCTCAAAGGGTATCGCATTATTTTTTGTTTTTTTTTTTTTTTTCATAGGGGTACCTGTCGCAAACTCTTGGTACATGACCTCTTTTGCTGGACGAGAACCTCCTGAGCCACGTTCGATGCGCCTTGGGCCTTTTCTTGAGCCTCCCTCGAAGCATCCCAGGCCCATGTAGGCCGCAGCTGCGACACGAGACCCAAATTCCTACAAAACCCTTTTTGAAGACTGCCCTGAAGCCTTTGGCTTCCCAGACCCGAGAGTAGCCCTACGAACCCTCCTCTCAAACCCCAAAATCGGAGACTAAGGCCATGGCTTCCTGGAAGGGCCTCACGAAGCTGAACCATCGCATCACCCGGCTCCTTACTGGGACATGCAACACTCTCCACGAGAGATGCATCGTCGTTGGCTTTTTGTAGGAAGGCCCATAGAAAAGCAAAACGCTTGAGCGTTCCGAGGGGCGGGGCCTCATTTCAGAGTATCCCGGGGGCGCAAATGAGCCCTCGCAGCATGACGAAGAGTGATACACCGGAGAAGGAAACAAGAGAGGGTGGGCGCGAGCCTCCCTGCAACCCTGTAAACCCTAAAAACCCCTATGAACCCTATTAAACCCTAGAAGCCTTACAAACCCTAGATAAACCCTCTAAACCCCAAGCTAGTTTGGGGTCTTCAGGATGTATCACACTATGTAAGCTTATAACCCCTATCACCCCAAGCTAGTTTTGGGTCTTCCCTAAACCCTAAAACCTAAACCCTGTAGGATGCAGGCACGGAGCGCTTGAAGCGGGTCGAGTGCCTGTTCGATGGGCGCACTCTCCTTAGGCCACGTCGGGAACTCGGGGGGGGGGGGGGGTGCCCCATACTTAGGGCTGGACATTAAAAAGCTGTCCTACAGCCGATCCGAACCAACCCTAAACCCTAAACTTGCAACTGCTGCTTCGAAGTTGAACGGGCTGTTCGGTCGTGGAGAGGAGCTCGCTTTGGGGGAGGCGACCTGGGCGATCTTGCATCCCCAGTGAAGATCAGAGGAACTTTGCAGTGTGTGGGGGGTTCATAGGGTTCATAGGGTTCATAGAGTTTAGGGTTTAGGGTTTCCTCGGAATCATGGAGTTCATATAGGGTTTGCAGGGTCCATTTCTTTCACCCGCGCACAGCTGACACGAAGCCACTCGGCAGGGTGTATTGAAAGGCCTTCTCGGGCTTTCTAGGGCCAAGCTGAGGGTTTCATCCCTACACCCCAAACCCTACACCCTAAACCCTAAACCCCACACCCCAAACCCTACACCCTAAACCCCAAACCCCAAACCTCAAACCCCCAACCCACGTGAGATCTTGGCCCGGCGCAGGGCTGGCTAGCACCGTGACCTTCTGGCTGGCCGGTTTGAGCTTCGCCGTCGACGCCGAATTCTCCCTCGGGGGCGGTGCTGCTGTCCTGGGCTGCCCCCCCCCCATGCTTTCCAGCTAGCTTAGGGTTTCGGGTTTCGGGTTTCGGGTTTCGGGTTTCGGGTTTCGGGTTTCGGGTTTCGGGTTTAGGGTTCGGGGTTTAGGGTTTAGGGATATTAGGCCTTAAAATCCCCCTTGTCTATAAAGGGCCTTGTTAAGCGGTTAGAGGGTAAAAATGGCCCATGCAGGTATGCTCACTCAGGAGACTCACAAAGGCCATCCCTGCAGATGCTAGGGTTCAGGGTTCAGAGTTAGGGCTCGGAGTTTAGGGTTTAGGGTTTCGGGTTTAGGGTTTAGGGTTTGGGTTTTTGGGGTTTGGGGTTTGGGGTTTCTGTGTGTCAGCCTTGTCCATGACTGTAGCCAGGCAGCTTGGGACTAGCAACGTTGACATTGGGATCTTCCAGCTGTTGGACGAACTTCCGCTGCGATGTGACCTGTCGAGGCTCCAACGCGTGACGCTGGTCAACAAATGGGGGTCTACGAATTCAGGGACCCCTAAAATGGTCCCCCACATAGTAGGATTCCCTTGTCATGAATACCCCAACCTAAACCCTAAACCCTAAACCCTAAACCCTAATTTCGGAAACTCCCAAATATCACAGGTCTCGAAGTCTCGAAGGATGCAAGCCCACCTTGCATTGATGATCGAACGCCTCACGGATGTCCGCCGTCTCCTGCTGCGTCAGGCCCTCCTTCTCACGGAACTCGCGCAAGAAAGTTGCCTCAGCTTCCGTGACTTGGGAACTATTGACTACTTGCAGCACGCATGCTGCCACGGCACTATCTCATCTTGGGTCATGCAGCTCTGCGTATCCAGCGGGTACAGTTCGTCCAGGATGGAGAAGATCAGGTCATCTGATGCGAAATACCTTGAAGCAAACAGTCATTGTCATGATCATCATGGTGGCTGTGATCCGCTAGGTAGAAACCGCAGCTCGAAGGATCTAGCACTTTTTAGCCAAATGCGTCGCATGGCAGGCAAGTCGCTTCAGCTCTACAAGTGCACGGGGCAGATCTTGTAGCAGCAGTGGGGAGCCATCTTCGGCCAAGAGATCGAAAACAGAGGCGATGGCCTCTCTCTCGGCGTCGCGGACCCTCCGAATCAACTTGAGAAGCTCCTGAAAATCAGGGCGCAGGTTGGCGACACAGCCGACCGATCTTGTGCCATCTGAGATACATGAGAACCTATTTCTCAAGGCCAGATTATGCGATTTTACTATGGTACTATACGAGTATTCTGATTATATGATCTTATGAACGTCATGCAAAGTATGCTAACAAAATAAGTCATTGCAGTATCCCAAGAAGCTTTGGGGGGGGGGGGAGTCTCTCCTGGAAGCTGATGTATCCACTTGAGTCGTTGTCCACTTCTTGCGCGATCGCCTCAAGCTTCTCGGCGCTGATGCTGTAGCCCAGGTACCTCACAGGATCGACACAAGGGTGTCGAAGTCTCTAAGCTGTGGTCCCTTTTTTTGGGGAGGAGGGGGGGGGGTTCCTATCTCAAAATGTGGCACCCCCTTGTAGCAAGGACCCAAAGCACTAACACCGTAGCCCCCAAAAAAAGTCCAGGGCTTCAGCTTGGTCGCTGCACCAGGCGGGACACATCTTCCACCGGCATCTCTTGGGTTTCAGCGATGAGCTTCTTGGCAATGTCACTCTGGCTGCCAGCTCCTTAGTCTGGGTTTAGAGCCGCGCTTTGGAGGCTTTAAGCCAGGTGGGGGCATTTCCGAGACACGAAGCTTTTCACACCGAGCCCTGCTGGGTTTGGGGTTTGGGGTTTGGGGTTTAGGGTTTAGGGTTCAGGGTTTAGGGTTTAGGGCTTAGGGAGCGCAATCCTGTGATTGTACTACAAAGCCCCTAACGATGGTACCGTCCCAAGGCGCCGATGTCCACCTTTCGAGACCTGCTTTGGGCCTTGCATGGCGGCAACAGCTTTGGGGCATGGGTTGCCAGGTTTATAGGGCTAAAAGGGTTTACAGGGTTTACAGGGTTTATAGGTTTAGGGTTTCTAGGGATTATGGATATATATATATATATGGTGTTTACATGGTTCATAGGCTTCATAGGCTTTAGGGTTCGGCCACTGACATCCACACTAAGCTGCGCCTTTGCTGTCCTTGCCATGCGGTCATAAAGCTCCCGAAGCTCTTTGACGTCGTCTTTCGCCAGGCCTGGTGAGCTCTGAAGGCAGGAGGGTCTTGGGTTGAGGGAGGGGGCTACCTTATAGTTCCCCAAGAGGCCAATACCCCTGAGTTATAAGGAGCACACCTTAAATTCGTTAAAAATAGGATCCTTTTTTGGTTTAGGGTTTTACTTTGCTGGATTAAGGCTGCAAAGCCTTCAGTGCACCGCAGATGCTCCCGCAGTTTCTCGAACTTCCGAAGGCTGACCTCGGCCGAGAAAAGCTCCAACCATCCAGCACGCACATATGGGGGTTTACATGGTGTCCCAAACATGGACCCCAAACAAGTTGGATTCCCCTATCATCAGGACCCAAGGTACCCCTAATTTCGGAAACCCCCCTATGTGGCAGGAGCTTTGCAGCTTGCAGCAGTCTTTCCCTGGGGGGGGCGGGCGGGGGGGGGGGGGGGGGGGGGGGGGGGGGGAGGGGGGGCTTCCCATCCCAAAGAGGGTGTATCCCTCATGTACCCCCAAATATCACCCACTTCCCTTTCTAAGGACTTTCTTAGAACGGGTACCCGAAAATGTAGAAGCCAGCGATAATTGTAGAAGCCAGCCTATGAGCCCTTTCAACCCCGAAACTTTTCAGGCCAGGCACAGTGCCTGTGGCTCCACACCCGATTGTGTCCATAGCCTCTTGCACCGTGTGCGCCTCGGAAAGGAAAGGCTGGAAGCGAAGGCTTGGATTGCTAAAGAGTTTTGTTTAGGGTCTGGGGTCTGGGGTCTGGGGTCTGGGGTCTGGGGTTCTAGGGTTCCAGGGTTTAGGGTTTAGGGCTAGAGGCCTCCGTGACGTAACCCAGCTTGGTCAAGAGCGCGCGAAGCTCCTGGACGTCGAGGACCCCGTTGTGGTCATTATCTGCAGCTGCGAACTCCGCTCTCAGGTACTGCTCATCAACCTGTGGCACACGCTTTGATCCCAAACCCTAAACCCTAAACCCACTTTGAATCCCCACAGTGGACGTCCGACAAGCATATGAGCCACATGTCTGTGCCTCCCGATATCTCTCCAAGAAATTCATCCACTCCTGGCGCCCGCTTTTCTGCACCCCAAGTTGGCGCAACAAGCAAAGTCACCGGGGATGGCCTTCATAAACAGCTTCTGAAAAAAGGGAGCTCCCAAGCATGATCCTCTTACATCCAATAATGAGGGAAAAATGCAAAACAAACATACCCCCAAGAAGCCCACCTAGTTCAGAGAACTCAGAGCCCAGTAGAAGAGGCACAGAGCTGGGACACAGTCTCCTCCCAGCTGACGGTCGCATAGCTGAACATGTCCTTGACGAGCCTCTCGATCTCCCCGGGTCTCAGAACGCAGCCCATATACCTGAGCATCAGCTCCAACTCTTCGGTGGCCACCTCACCGTCCTTAGGATGGCAGGGTCGAAGATGGAGAGCACAGGAAGCCTTGTTCAATGCTTCTGTGCAGACTTCTTGGCCCACATGACATGGCAGGTGGCGGTGTCTGTGTCGAACTTGATGAAGACACTGCCTCGGCTTTGCAGCTTTTTCCTACCCGCTGTGGAGTTTGGGGTTTAGGGCCAAAGTTTAGGGTCTTCTTGCCCGTCTCAGGGTGTTCAGAACCTATGGCTGCGCCGCTCACAACAAAGGCAGTCGAGGACTCGCGGCCATTCATTTCGAGCCGAGGACGTGCAAAAACTTGGGCATCTTGGGCCCAAATCCCGGAATTCTTCCGGGGTTCTGAAGCGTTTAGACCCTATAGCAATCTAAACCCCCCTATCACCCCTAAAACGTTTTATCACGTTTACAGCAAGCCACGGCATTCCTCGTCACTCCAGGGGAAGTCGAGCTCGTCGTTGCCTCCATCATCCCCATCTTCTTCGAGGTTCTTCAAGAACGCCTCAACGAGCCGATAACGTGCTTGCTGCCTTTTATTCTTATACCATAACCATGATTCATTCATTAAGTTGAGGGGACCTGGTGACCACCTGGTCCCACCCCACACTCAACTCCTCGCCTCTGCCACAGAGGATCGGCGAACTGGCTGGTTGTTGGAATCGAGCAAAGGTAGCATCATTGCCTCAGGTCTCCACGGCCGGAGCTTGTTGGGAATGCGCCGTATAACATGTTCGTTCCTAAGCCCTTTTGCCCAAACCCTGCGGCTGATGCCTTGCTTAGCAGGACAAGGCGCAAACGCTGACATTCTGCGGGTCAGGCCTGATGTCCGCTTGGAGTAAGCCTGCCTCTTGCGCTCCTCTTCCTCGCTGTCGTAGCCCAGATCGCTCGAGGAATCCTGGAAGGACGACTTGTGAGCCAAAGGCAAGCTGCACATGTTCTTCGATTCCATGTAAAAGATGCACAGATATTTCCGGCCAAGGCACGCTTGAGGAGTCCGAGGAAAAGGAAGAGCTGGAATCACTGGAGGCCGTCTCCGAGACCACCGACTCTTTCCGGTTCGGCGTGGGCTCTTCCGGCTCGGGGTCCTCGAGGTCGACGGTGTCCACCCGAAACTCATGGGCTTCCACGCCGGCCCAACCGGCGCGCTTCCGGTTCTTCGAGGGCGGCCGGTCGGTCTTCGTGGCCCCTGGGGAGCGGCCATGCCTCGACGCCGGCTTGGTGAGGAGGCCCTGCAGCCTCTTCTTGCCTTAGTAGTCCGGTATCCTACCGGACCCTAAAGGTTCACCTTGGAATTATTAATAGGGATTCTAAGGCCCTTGGGATTATAAAGGGATTCTAAGGCCCCCAAAAAAGGGTTACCTACTCCACTACGAAGTGGCTGTGCTTCACGGGGAGGCGTGGGCCTCCCCGGTAGGGCCCAGAGCCGCCGAAGGCCGGGTTCGAGCGCAGGCTCCCGCTGCTCATCGCCGACAGGCTCTGGTCGGAGAACTGCATGCTCCTTAAGAGGGACCAAAAAAGGGAGCCTAAATTATAGGGTTCAGGGTTCATACTAAAGTATTACCTGAAGAGGAATTGTATGTAGTCTATAGGGTCTAGGACCCCCAAATTTTGGGGGGTTCGCTTGCTCCCCAAGGCTCTGGATAGAATGCATGATGCGGCTCAAAGAGGGCAGTCCTGAGTTGTGCTTTTCACCCTTTCAAAATTACCTATGAATAGGCTCCCTTATAAAGAAAACAGGGGGGGGGGGTAAAAAAAATAAACAAATCCCAAAGCACAAGCCCTAAACCCTAAACCCTAAACCCTACAAACCCCAAACCCGAAACCCTAAACCCCTAAACCCTACAAACCCTACAAACCCCTAAACCCTAAACCCTAAACCCAGAGTCGTGGCGGAGGCGTCGCTTTGGCTCCCGGCTGCTCCCACTCGACACCTCGCTCGAAGGCCATGAAGGGCAGCCGCTGGCTTCCCCGGCCGGCGACCTCGGGCTGGGATTCCCTAAATAGCTACTTGAGATACCTTAGCACAGAGTCACATATATATATATATATATATATACACAGATATTTAGTATAGTGATGTAGTAATATAGTGACATAGCAGTGTAGTAATAAGAGGTACCAGGCTATGTCGAAGAAACAGAACCCCATGTCCGGTGCTGCCAAGCAGCTGCGCCTTTCTTGATATCTTTGATCGAGAAAGTCTTGGCATGGAGGTCCACGGAGCAAAGCTGCAGAGGCGCGACATACCTTGGGGACCAATTTTGAACCTTAAGCTTAGGGTCTTTATATGGCTCATATCTTACCTTAAACAGGAGTTGTAGTAGCGTATAGGGTACATGACCCCAATTTTCGGGTTCCTGTGGTGCTTCGCAAGGTACGCCTTCTTGATGTTAGGAAGGCTGCTCGACTTCCCGAGCCTGCGCTGCGGGCTCCGCGACTTCCTCGACCTCATGGCACTTTGGCCGCATCCGCGCTGGCATCATGGCCGAGCAAACCGTGGCTGCGGGGATGTCAACTTCAAAAGAGCAGGCTCTAGATCTTCTAGCTGCTGGCCGTCTCCAGAAAGCACCAAGCTCAAGATATACGTGCTGTATATATTATGCTATACATTTGATACATCCATCTCTCATACACGTATATATATATATACAAATACATATACATCAACTATATATATATATATATATATATATGATAGTAGTTATATATATATATATAGATACTGATATTATACCCCTCACGGGGCAATTGTGCATGATCTCTGCTGCTCCTCCTCCTTCTCCAGGAGACGGATCTCTCGGTCGTCCTGCCTGGCAAATGAGGCTCATGTGCGGGTTTATTTAGGGTTTATAGGGTTCAGGGTTTCTAGGGCTTAGGGGAGAAAAGGGGTTCAGTAGCGCAGCTAGAATGCTGTCTTGGCTCTTAGCCCATAGCTTTCAAAGTCACACAGACAGGTTAACAGGGTTTTTGCATGGGTTTTGTTGTGTAGCTCGCTGTCCCACAACTCCCCGCCACTCCCGCAGTGTGAAACAGGGCGTGCATCATGACGCTAGAGCCCGCGATATCATCTTCATAACTGTGCACTACTGTGCAGAGCGTGGGCGGTCCAAGAACAGATCCATGGGCACACTCAGCGTAATCCTGTGTGCGCCGCGCGCTGCAAGTTGTTGGGCAAAGCGAGCGTGCTCGCAAGAAAAGGCCTGGGCCTTGGGAGCTCCAACGATGCATTCTCGATCCGGGAATCTGCATACCTTAAGAACCTACAAGACTTAGATAGGGATATTCTAACAAGAACCTACAAAAAACAGCAGGTTTGGGTTCTTGAGGTATACAGTACACTGTTTGCAAAGCGACTTTCATAGAGATTGGAGCAGTAGTTAGCAGGTACATCAGCGGGTGGGCTTCTGAAGCCTCCAATGTTGCTCAAGACCAGCCAGCGCGACTCTTCCTTCCAAGCCCGCTGTTTTGCCTCGAACTTTGCCCAGGCGTGGGCCAATGACGCGGAGCACACCTGCCGAAGTTTGCTGGCTTCCTAAAAAAAAACTTGGGGGGGCGGGGGCGAGCAGGCGGCGGCAGCTTTTGTTCGTCCTCTTGCTCTGTGCTAAAGGGGGCTGCTCCTTTGGCAGTCCGACCAGCCGCTATCACTTTGGGGCGCGCAGCAAGCCAAACAGGCTCACCACATCCATGGGCGATAGCCGATGCGGATGGCCGCTCTCCGCTGCAGAGGGGTCAGTCTGCTCCAACTGACTGTGGCCTGAACGGGGGGCTTCGACCACAGCCCATGGCCTTCAACTTATTGCACCGGACTCTGAGCAGCCAGGAGGCCAAGGCACTTGGAACCTCTTCATTCCTCAGAGAGAGTGATTTTGAGTTTCTGCGCTTTATGAGGACGAGCCATGATGCTGCTTTTTTTGTAGGCGGGAGGCAGCGTGGCTCGGTTGAAGCCCAACTCTCGCCTTAACTGCTTCGAGCTCTGGCTGTCCCCCAGGATTCGGTGAGAAAGGTTTGATCCTACTGAGGACGAGGTGCCAATCCCGCTGCTGGCTCTGGGCCAAGCAATCCCACAACTGAAAGTGGGGAGATCCTGATCTGCACAGGATGATCTCCGTCAGCTCCCCTGATGCGTCCTGAGGTGCTCTTGAAACGAGTGAAGGAAAGATCGGTGCAAGAGGATGGCTTTCCTTCGAGGGCACTTGGCCATGGCTCCCTGGATTGCAGCTGTGGCGAAGGCAATGCGGCCAGGTTGCGTTCCACGTTTCTTCCGCGAAACCCACGCAGGCGGCTGCTTCCTGCTCCTTGGCTGCCAAGGGGTTTTCGAAAAAACGAGAGCTGTCGCAAGTGGTGTTCTCTATCGTCGGCTCCTCATGCGCCCTGCAAAAAAACATGCGCCGAGCGGCAGCAGAGCTCAGCTGCAGCCACGTCTTAAAGCTCGAGGCCGGCTTCCTGGCATGTCTTTTAACAGTTGTTGTCGTGCTCTTCTTACGATGAGAGCCCGAAGTTTGATAGAAAGCCCCGGATTCCCTCAATTTTGCGATGCCACTAATGTGACGAGCGTTGCAAAGAGCCCGTGATGTCGGCTCCTCGCTTGCCGCGCCCAGGAGAGCGACCTCCAGCCGAGTCTGCCCCAGCAGCGGCGTGCCTTTTTCGTCATGCCTGTCTGCGGCTCAAGGTCGGCATTAATGCATCCCTAAACCCTAAACCCTATTGGTCGCATTCACAGAACAAGCCTCCGGCCTTGCCAGTGTTGAAACAGGCTTGGAACAGTGTCTGGCAGGGGTGGCCAGAGATTGAGGCAGGATTCTCCGCAATGCTCCTGACGGCACGAAGGCTCAACGGACTAAGCGCAACATGGCCCTTCTTGTGGCGGGTTCTGGCAGTTCTGGCTGGCACCTAAGCCCTATAAGCGGCCCACAAAGACCCTGAACCAAATCTGTGCCCCTGCCACCAAGGTGCATCTCTCCATGCGTTCGGAAGCTCATCCTCACAGCCCGGGGAGTGCACAAAATGGGGGGCAAAATCCTTTTCAAACGGTTATCAGCTGAGCCACGCAGAGCGAGTACCTTGGGGGATGGCCAGGGTGCCCTATGCGACTCACAGTTCTGCACTCAGCACGCAATGACCTGGCACATCTATGGCGGCCCTTTTTGCCTGCCCCCCTTTGCGAGTTGCAGTTCCTTGTTGAAGTAAGGCCAATCATCGTTTGCTGCCGTGTGAGGTCTTCCAGCCAAGACCTCTGCTGCAGGGTCCACTGCCCCCTCAAGAGCCAGCCTTGCCACAATCCTTCTGGCTGACTTGCGAGACCTTGCTGCCGAAGAGGCTTGGTGCGCAGCACGCGCGCCAGAGACCACGGCAGCCTGCGTTGCTCGAAGCATCCGCTTCTGCACACTTCTCGGCACACGTCCGAGTGACGTCCTGGACTGGCACTGGACTCAACAACGGGCCTGCACTGTGCCATACATCAGGCGACAGGTGTGCTCGCCGGCGAAGGCCAAGCCTGGAGTGCTCAGCTTGCAGTGACAGAATGTGTATAAGGACTCTATAGTACTGTAGTACCCTTTAGCGCTTGGGGGCTTGTTTTTGCCACCCGCCTAGCCAACAACGTTTGTGATACTCCGCAGGGACGAAATCGAGGAACACACGCATTTCGTGTCTGGTTTCAGGGCTCAGGGCGTCTTGGGGATTGTGGGGTTGCTTAGGAGAACTGGAAAAGGCATCTGTCAAGGCTGCGATTCCAGCCAAGCGTCGTGGCTTGGGCTCGTAGATGCTGAAGTCTTGGCTGCTGGAGCCCACCTGCTTGCGAGAGTTGCTTCAGGGCTTTCCTTGAAAGCTCGTTCAAACGCAGCCGCCTTCCCGCAGGTCCATGATCCCAGAACCTGATTTGCATCTGTCGTTCTGATATGCCTTTTTGCTGAGCTTTCTCTTTGCTGCTGAGGGACGAAAGGGTCCCGGGAGAACGACACCAGCAGCACAGCTTCTACAGCCGTCGGCTGCATCTGTGGGAACCTTAGCATACTCACAGCTCCTTCACTTGACCAGGAAACCCTCATTTGACCAGCCATAGCCAGCCCAGCTGCATCTGCAACAGCTCTTCCACAACACGGGCCCGCAACGCCTCCTGGCTCTGGTTCAACTTCAGGGCCTCCCAGGGTTTAGGGTTTAGGGCTTAGGGTTTAGGGAAGATTGATTCAGGATGATTCAGGTCGCTCTCACATCAGGACTTCTGTGAGCTTTCGGGGGCTCCGACCCCTCACTCCACCCCCCCCTCCCCCGCTTTCAAGACCCGTGAAGCGTAAGCTCAAGGGGTCAGACTCACAAGTGGACACCTGAAGCTTCAATACGGCTAAAAGGCTGAATCCTGCAGCGTCATCAAAAAACTTCCAGAACAAAAGGGTCGACTAGCTTTTCAGAACATGATGCCTTGGGTTTGTTTTTCATCTTTCAGGTCTAGAGGAAATGGATCGTCATTACCCTGCCTCTGCAAAGGACGGGCCGGACAGCAAGCAAGTCAGTGTCCTTTGCTCGGCACATTCTCAGTGTGTGCGTTTGGCTCGACTCTTTGTTGAGAACAATAATCAGAGACACCAACGTTCCGGCAAGGCACACTGAAGGAACGTTGGCGGCTGCGGTTGCGGCTGCTTCCCCTAGGGAATTTTTTGGGCTTATAAGCCTTTTTTAATGGGTTTTTTCTTTAACCACCCGCCGAGAGCCGAGGTTTATAGGGGCGCCGAGGCACGGATGCAATAATAGAGGAGGCTTCGTGACGTCTGCGATACCAACTGAGAGATCAAGTACGTGCCACTGCCTGCGCGAACAGGTGTAGGAGGTTCACTTAATGAGGTTAAGCTTTCTGCAAGAACTCGCCAAACAGCTTAGCCTGTGGAGGCCTAACCACACTTAATTACGACTTCATGGGCAGCTTTGCCACGCTTGCAATCTCTTCAGGCAAGTGGCCCATGGGAGATTCCCCAACTTTAAATTTTATGAACAGCTTGGCAACGTCCCCCATCTGAAAGCCTCGAAACGACGCAACATCAACGCAGCTCGCGCAGCTAGCCCATGAAGGCTGATGGCATCTCGCACAAAGAGCTTGTCTGCTGCGCAGGCACGGTTCAATGAAGCCTGATGACAGAAGCGCTATTTTCAAGGCGATAGAGCACAGCACACATCAGCAAGCCATCTTCCCTCCAAGTGCAGCAAAGCCGCATGGAAGGCACTGGACAGCGGTGGCTGGAAATGGATCTTCTGCTGAAGGACCGTCAGGGGAACGGTGACGATCACAGCTTTGCCTTCTGACATCTTCTGACCGGTTGCAAGGTTTAGACTCGAATAACTACCGTAAATCTGCACCTTAGATACATGTATGTATAGAAATAGATATACATGTGTATGCATATATATATATATACATGAACCTTAAAAGGGTTATATAATTCTGTTGACCATACTATCCTA